TTTCCCGCATGTGGGACAAAAAAAACATTTGTAATCCTCAACTTATAGTGATTTATTACTGGGTCAGGCCCTGTGGTTTTTCCCCTTTACGGGTTTTTCACATAAGAACTCATGGTGTTATCACAGTCTGATTCATTTTCATCTGAGTGTGTGCTGAATCCTAGCGCAACGCTATGACGATAATCCATTACTCTACCGCCGCGAATTTTTTAGCACACATCAATATATATGTAATAATTTTCAAAATTTCATTAGATTTCGAACACAAGCATAATTTGACTAAATAAGTTTGAATCCAGTCGAAGACAACTAGACTACTCGTGAGCTATTTTGAATACAAGGCGAACACAAATATATATATATATATTTTGAATACAAGCCAATGATTCGAGTTGTCCAATACTCGAACTCGGGCTCGAAAATGAAATGAGTTATTATTTTAGCTCTAGTTTGAGCTCAATGCTCAAAAAGTCTGGCTCAAGTGCACCTCTGATAAGATCTCATCACAACTTCTTCATTCGTCCTTGTCATTCACATTATAATAGTCTCATGAATGCTTTTACCTTGCAATATCTTATCGCAACATACTCATTTATTTTTTATTTTCACTCATATTCAATCATGCTGATGTCCCTCCCTTATGAATTTCGTCATGACCATCATCTTCTTAGCTAAATCCCATTATGGCTTTCGTATATGTTTAATATTGGTTTCAAAATTTTAAGTAGAAGCTAGTAGTCGCAAGATGTAAGTTAATAAAATGTTAGATTAATAAATAGTGAATTTTAATTATTGAATATGTTAATAGGATAGTTTAATTGTTATGTCAATAAATCCCCCCATTATTTTCTTGTGTTTAATAATAAAAATTGAATCAATATATTTTGTTTTTTATCCTTTTTTTTGTGTGTTTATGCAAAATTGAGAACTTTTCATGTGTGGATGCAAAGGTAAATATGAGGGCTTGACAAGTTAACAACGAAGGTTGGAGGCGCATGTTGACTTGTAACAATTTTGCATGAAGGTGACCATATTCTGTGGCTTTAGATGGCAAGGTTTTGTTGAGGTGGCAAGGCCGCATGGATGCAAAAAGGCTGCCCAAATGTAGAAATAGCAATTAGCATGGAGGCTAAAAAGTTGCATGTTGTAGCAAAGCCACATTACATGATGACATTGTATTCAGAATTTGGCTCAATTCAACTAAATTCTAAATACATAAAAAAAAAGTCTACTACATGATTTCAAAACCCCTAAAAAATATTTTAAATGTGATTTACCCTCAACTAGACAATGAAAAGATTAAGCTCTTTACATTTCAAATGTAATACGCTAAAAATTGCTCCAATTATATATCCCTTTAATTTAACCATTATTGAAGATGGACAACCAATATGAAAATGTTATTGTCATATGGGCATCCAAATGTAGGGTGTGCTTAATTACATGACCTTTTGACATTTTTAGGGTTTTAAAAGTGTAATATTATATTTTAAAAGAAAATTTATATGATATGTTGGTAAAAAAAAACTTTTTCTTATCTATCAATAAAATTAAGAAATCATAAATGGAATCTTTATTATATTATTAACATAATTTAAATAACGTACTTTATTATTGAAGTCAAACAACTCTTTGGATTATACACAAATTATAATCATTTATAAAGAATGAATTCACATGATGTCATTATACAACTTCATCGCAACTTATTGAAGTTTTGGAAAGGGCTTTAATAATTTGTCTCCCTAAAGGCCAAATATATTGTGCAATTCAAATGATTTAGAATTACTTTCTTAAGTAGGTCATATTTTCTAATATAAGTGAATATATAGCTTTGGATGATTTAACTTAATGGTAAGTTCAATATATATATTTTTAAAATTCATAGGATCAATCATTCTTACTCGGTTGATTATCTTTAGGGTCTGTTTGGGGCAGTTGTTATTTAATAATAAGCTGTTGCGCAGCCGCTGTCACAGGAAGCTATGTGTAGAAACTGCTGCGGAGAAGTTGGTTGTCTGTTTGTTTTTTACAGTTTGAAAACAAATGTGTTGCAGTTATTTTTGTACAAATGATCATTTTGCCCATGTAAAGTAATGTTGTTTGCAACAAAACTATCACACCAATATATTTTATACTTCATAAGCAAAAATCCAGTGCAAAATATTACAAAAAAAATGTACACCTCACTTAACAGTAAGTATCATGATTACTAAAATTAAGAAAAAGACTATTAAAATAACATTTAATAATATAATAATATTATTTTTAAAATACCGATGATGTATGTCACGAGCTAAGTCGTTCTCTAGGGATACTCTTGACCAAAGGAAAATATGTTGAGATTTTCATATCTATTTTATACTGTTTTTGATGATATTGCACTTTAAAGAAAGGTATTTTTGATGTTTTGTTGCAGGAATGATGAAATAGGGTCATTGGAGCAAAAAAATGAAAAAAAGGAGCGAATTTGGAGCGAAAAGGACCAAAATGTGAAGAATTGAACTAGGACGCCGATGGCGCCATCGACCCCGCCGACGACAAGATTTTCCCGAGACTTTAGAATTAATTCATTAAGGAGGTCCGCCGACGACGAGATCGGCGTCCGCCGACGACGAGCTCGGCAGTTATGTCCAACTAGGCTTTAATTTTGAAGGGATGTTGAAGGGATGTTTAGACAACTCTTGGGAAAACTCATCCACATCTTTAAAGAGAAGACTTTGACTGAAAATAGAAGGAAGAGAGGCTCCAAATTGAAGTGTAAAAAAGTGTAGATAGTCTAAATTGTGAGAAATTCTTCGAGAGATTGTAAGAGTGGAGGGAAAGTTAGGGATTTCTTCCTCATTGCTGCTTCAAAGATGAATTCTGTGTGCTGTAAAGAAAGGAAGAGATTCAGAGGAACTTCAAGGAGTTTTCTTGGGGAGAAATTAGAGATAAGTTTATTTATTGTTGTAGTTTGTATGA